CTCATTTGCAATGGATCACTCCACTTACTTGGTTATGTCAAATAAGGATATTCATCAGCCTAACAGTATGCTGGAGCAGGAGATCAAATGCTTATTCGGTCTCTTACTTAATTTGTTTGAAAAGAATCAAGAACTTGGTGCCCTAGTACTGGATAAAATCTGCATATTTATTAGAGATCTAGTGAATATGTTGAATGGAATTACAACCAAGCCAATTATGTGTAAAAATATTGATAATTTCATAGAGCCTGACCAAGAGAATTTCATGGAAACACAAGCAGGCCAATCAGTCGCAGTGGAAAGCATGATCTGTGCACCAAAGGTCATTCTTAATTGTTTTCAAAACCAAGAAAATTTGAATTCAGTTTCTCCTCAGGTCTTTGACGCCGTGAAGCTTCTGGTAAAGCATGTATGTGGTTGCAGATCATTTCATATTTATATACGTGTGATCTATAATCTACTATTGCAATCATGCATGGAATACAGATGCATGTGGCATGAGTTGGGGAAAATTATGAATTCTACCAGAGACTTTAGCTTATGCTATGGTTCTGTGTCTTGGGACCGCTCTTTTGAGTATGAAACTTCTGCTATTGAATATGTGGATATTATTTTGGGAAGAAAAGAAAATTGGTTATCTTACAAGCTCGGAAAATATGCAACATGTCAGGGAGCATGGCTTACTGCAAATTTAATATTTGAACGACTTAGGACAATTGTCCGATCTGAAGTCTGTTGTTCTTGGTTGGAATCCTTGGCTCAGTTTTCACGAATGGAAAGGCAATTTCAATTGTTTAACTTTGATCTTTCTGAAGTCACTACCGGAAAAAGTTCCATTGGCTGCTACATTGAAACTACTCTTGGTGCTTGCAATGACCTTCGTTCTTCAGTGTGTAGACTTGATGCCTCTACTTCTGGCCTCGCCTTCTGTTTCCAGAGATGGTTTCTGACTTTGAGAGTAAAAGTTGTAGAAGCTATACTGGATTTAATTAAACTCGTGATAGCATATTCTTCTGTACAGGGTGGCGCTAGAAACAATGAGTGCCCAGAAACATCTTTACTGCATTCTCTTGGCCAAGTTTCTTACAGAATGAACAGCTTAGTGCAAGAATTTGACCTTTTTGCAGCATCTTTTATTGGCATAGACGGGAAAAGTAGGATTATGATCTCAATGCTTTCTCTAAGTTGCTCGCTTTTGGCCTTCACCACTGGCTTTACTTTTCTCTTTGCAAACTTACATGCTTCGGAAGATATCAGTGGCCGAGTGGTTAAACCTTTTGATGAGAAACTTTATGCTATGTTATCACATGATTTGTTTGGGAGGTTATGGCACATAGACAATGAAACCAGCAAAAAGGTGTGGTTGCTTTCAAAATTCTTGCAAACATCAGCGAACACTCTTTTGCCACAGTTCAGAAATCAAACCTTGAACTCTGGGTACGAAGCGATTGCTGTTGCAAAGCTTTGTAGATATGCTGTTACGGTTATTCATAACCTGCAAAATGAAGTGACTGGATCACATGATCGCAAGATCAAATCCAGGATTTTTAGTGACACTTCCAAGCTGCTGTTCAATGTACTTTCATTATGGATACGTATTCCTTTCCGGGCTCCCAAGCACTTCTTTCAACTAAGGTATGTGAAATATTGCAAGAGTCTGGTCCCATTTCTTACACCTCCTACCTCGGGATTTTTAATACTCTAGCTTTTTCGGAGTAATGACCTTTTGTGCCCTAGCTCCATACTTACTGCTATTCTGTTGTCATTTGGATTAATAGTCAATACAGTAATTTTCTCAGTTTTCAATTTTCATAACTTTTAAATATTTGAATGATACACGGCTTTTGTTGGCAACTTGATAACATTGTAATGAAGTTGAAAATATGTCAGGCCCTGTGTTGGCTCGGAGCTTTTCTTGATGGGAGAAGATGGAGAAAAATTAGATAGTTTATTTGTCACGTCTGGCTTCCTTCTCCGTGTAAATTTGTGCCTTCAACTCAAAAATCTGCCATCAAGCCTACCCGTTGGATTTTCTAAGTTTTACTGTGTTCTTCATACAAGACCATCATATCGAATATCCAACCGCAATAGAGAGGATAAGCAACGAAAACCTTTAAGCTCTCAAGAAGAAGTTGATAACATAATATATCTGAACCGAAAGCTATTGGAACACACCAGCGGGTCTTCTGATTGTAGCAGTATGCACAGTATTGATAAAACCACAGGCGTTTTAGCTGCAGACAGCTTCGTCTGCTTTGAGCCAAATGAGAAAGGGCAAGGCTTCTCAACGTGCTTGCTCGATGTTTCTGGCTTCCCCGTTGGTTGTTATGAAATCAAATGGCATAGCTGTGGTGTCGACAATGAAGGTTCGTATTGGAGCTTCATCCCGCTGAATGGTGGTGCGGTGTTCACTGTAAAGGAAGGAAGTTTGTAATGCTGCTAGGTGAGGTAATTCCATGGAACTCCCTCCCC